CCCTGCTGGCCTCCACCTCGAATTGTTCCTGGAGACAGGCATCAGCACTGAGGGCGCGCCGGTGCTGGCACCGGCGCTGGGAAGGAAGGGAGCTCCTTTGTCTGTGGAGGCACGCAGTCTGGCAAGGGAGAAAGTCGGCAATTCTAAGGCATGGTAGAAGCTAGTTAGCATCTTGAAATTTGGAAGTTCAGTAGAAGCAGTCTCCAGAGAAAGGGTGGATTAGAGAAGCATTCTGGGCAAGGTCACGGGTGAGCCGACCATTGAAAGATGAGGCTGTGAGGTGAAGAGAGAGCTCGGTCCTGTCTAGTTGTCCAGCCAGAGTGAAGGTGATGGCCTTCGGAGGAGAAGCAACCTGTTAGCAAGGCTGACGTACAGCCGGGGTCAGAGCAGGGTTCTCTCACCTACCGTGTCTGGCCAAGTTCCTAGATTCTCTGAGGCTAGATTCTGCTTGATTTGCTGCGACTGAACAACTCCCAAGTGATTCTCGTAGGTTCCTGTACAGCTCTTCTCAGAGACAGCACCTTTAGCACTTTATCTGCAGTTTTTGTTCCAGATAGGGATTGGAACACATTGATTTTTCAGATGCACTGCGTCAGAAGGCCTGTAGAGGGCGATGAAGATGAAGCTGCTGGAGAATCTCACCATTGTCCATTATCTATTATGCATTTATTTCCAAGAAGAAAGTTATGCTTCCTGATACTGAACCCTTATTGTTTGCCCCACCTAACAAGCGCAGGAAATGCTGCCCCAGCTTTAAGGAGCAGGCAGCGTTAGCGGCTGTGCTGAGGGCCTCACCAAACCCCGGCGCTTTCTCTGCCCTGCTCTGCCCCCCACGCCTGCATGACCGAATCATGCCGACCCTTTGTTTTCTTGGCTGCAGGATCTGTGTGTCTCACAGCACTATTAGTGAAAATCAGAAGAAACAGCATATAAGCACATTTTGAAAACTACAAAGCATTATGCAAATTCAAGACTAGACTGGTCACCTTATTTTTGTCACCTAATATAAAATAGTTTCTGAAGCTGCAGTAGTTGATACCATGATTAGATGTTGATTTAGGGTAACTGAGAAGTTTCTGTTATGGACTTGATCAGTGAGGCAGAGTAAATCGATGGCTCTGACCTTTAATCCTAATACAGACTATCACTTGACTGATACTAACAGTATATTTACCGACAAGACTAGACAATCTTTGCGAATTTAAGTCAGTGTTACTACTGAGAGGTGATTGGTGATGAGAAATACTATCTACCCAAAAAAGAGGCCAGTAGTAATTTTTTTCTGTGGTTGGTTGGTTGGTTTGAGAAAGGGTCTTGCTAAATAGTTGAGGCTAGTTTTGAATTCATATCTAACCCAAGCTGGCCTTGAATTTGAAACAACCCTCCTGCCTCAGCCTCCTGAGTGCTGGAATTACAGGTGTGTGCCACCACTCCTAACTAAGCTTTTCTATAGTGAATAAAGCTCTTTTGGAACCTTTCTGGATCACCGGGTACCTACCATCATGTGTTAGACATTTTCTGTGGCAGTGTTCTAAACTTTGTTGTTGTTAGTTTCCTTTTTAATTTTTTAAATGTTTGCAGAAGAAATTGTTCATGGACATGGTTAAACCATACAGCTCATAATGCAGACATGATATCTTGTCTAAACACTGTTAGTACAAATCTTTCTTCTCATTGAACTAGAAAAAGTAGCTGTATATCTATCCTATTTTGTATATACAGATATATATTTTTTTTCACTACAAAATGGTCTTTCATTTATATCCCCCTTTTTTGTTTAGTTTTTTTTTTTTTTTCAGAACCAGGGATTGAACTCAGACCCTTGCGCTTGCCAGGGAAGCACTTATTCCACTGAGCCATCTCCCCGGCCTTTTGTTTAGTTTTGTCTGAGATGGGTGTTCCATTACTCTGAATAACTACTACAAAGACAACAATATGCAATGTATTAATTATTGTAACTGTCCTATGAACTTGTTTTGAAACTGTCTCATTGCTATTTCTTTCTCATTAGAATTAATTAAAAAATTATAGTAACATAAAAAACCTGCCCCTCAGGTGTTGGCCATAGATGACTGTATAATGAACACACATTGCATTAAAATACATTAACAGAGTTACCACATCTTAATGGGAGTGATAACAGGGATGGGAAGATGGGAAGAAAATTGCAAAGTAATAAAACTTTATCAGTGCAAGAAGCATTTTATTTGTTATTATTTTAGCCTCAGTGGATCTACAAGTACTGGAATGATTTAATGTGTTAAATAAATTAATTTGAAGACAAAAATAAATAAACCATACACTTCATAATTTCCCATGAGGAATATTTGTCCAAGTTTCCATCATGTAATGCCTGACATATACCAGCCACTTCATTGTCACTTGAATAAACAAGACTAAGATATACACATTACTCCTATAAATGCTTTTTAAAACCCACTCCATTAGCTGTCATTCAGGCTTCCAATGTAATTGTGACTTATGATTTCTAGCACTATTCAGAAGTGAAGCAAAAAATAAGGTTCTGAGTTTCTCTTTTTTTTTCTAGTTAACTTTATAGGTCTTTTATTATTTACAAACTTTTTATTTTTTTATGAGCAGAATATATTTATTGAGGGAAAGAAAGCTCTTGTCCAAGAGAGAGACAGGAGGGGGGCCCAAGCATGTTGTCCCCAGAAACATTTTTTTAAAAAATACTTCATCTTGCTGACTAGGAGAGAAAAAAATGTAGTGGAGAGGAAAACTCCTGTTATAGGAATTCATTCCTGTTTCCACTTGTGAAGCTTATGGTTTAGGTTGTATAATGCTGTACTCCTTCCCTGTGGATTTTGCTGGTAGCACTGTGTGCCTTCTTCCTCAGTAGATTCTGCAATGATTCCAGTATATGTTTGGATTAAAGTGTGTATGTTATTTTTCCATTGCCCCTAAGTGATGCCCTACACCCATTCAGTCTGTGTTGACTAGTGTTTTGTTCCTTAAATGCACACACTCTTCTTTCCTGTGTTGTAATTTTCTCTTCTTTTAACGAACAAGTTTTTTATCCCTATTTGTGAGTTTTGGATTGGTGGATGTGGCCGCATCCAGCTGCTTTCTTTTGTCTCCATGTGTCACACCACATTGTGTCGTGTGGAAGTAAGTACATACTGGCTGCTCTGTGTCCGAGACTGGGATTAACCTTCCTGCCCCGTTCGATTTCCTTTCTAGGTCCAACTGGCCCACCTTCAACACTCCCTCTAAGCACACAGACCTCTAGTGGCAGCTCCACCCTATCCAAGAAGAGGCCTCCTCCCCCACCACCCGGACACAAGAGAACCCTATCCGACCCTCCCAGCCCACTACCTCATGGGCCCCCAAACAAAGGCGCAGTTCCTTGGGGTAAGTTAACCTAAAGTCAGGGCCAAAGCTGCCCCGGGTCAGGCTGTGTATGGTGCTCTGCTGGTTAGTGGGCAGTTAGCACATTCAAGAAGTGGGCCAAACTGCACACTTACTGGATGAGGACCTGGACATGTATTGGTATGCTATGCCCGCCTCTGAAAGCTAAGAATCATCTTGAGAAATGCCCAGAGCCAGTAAAAACTATTACAGCAATAAATACAGTTTCCCTCAGTATCATCAGGGGAGTGATCCCAAAGTCTCCCAGTGGAACTAAAATCTGCATATGCTTACGTCTCATATAAAATGATGTAAAATGGCATAATGTTCGCATATAACCTGAGTATATTACCCTCACACATGTCCAACCCATGGCCCACTAGTTTTATTTTTGGGTAAAGAATTGTCTTGGGCTGCATATAAAATACGTAATGTAGTTAGTAATATAATATAGTTAATATAAGTAACAGGACCTCGCTTTTTACTTTTTATTATAATATTTAAAAAGATAGGCCACAGATTGGGTATACTACATACCTTAATGCAGTGTGTTACTTTTAAAAGTCTGTGCATGTTCTGTGCAGGCAGTTTTTTCCTGAATATTTTTGATCCACAGTTCGGTTCTACAGGTTGGGACCCACAGGTACAAGGGCTGGCTTAATAGCAGTAAGGTGCTGAGCATCTCCTAAATCTCAGTCATAGTAGTGGCCCTTTGAGCTAGGTATTAATCTCACTGAAGACGAAACAAAAGCTCAGAGGAGCCAAGTAATCCATTCTCTCCCAACAGCCAGAATGGTGTTCTTATAGAGTATAAAGCAGGCCGTGGTCACACTTCCCTTCACGCCCTCTGAAGACTTCTGCTGAGCTTCAGCTAATGCCCGTTCTGTACACCAGGGGCCAAGAGGGCCTCACGTACAGCCCTCTCATCACTGCGCATGCCCTGGCCGCTCCAGCTCCCGGCTGCCCTGCTCCTCCCCTCCTCAGAAGACCTCTACCTTATTCCTGGAAAGGCTGGCTCCCTGTCCCCTCTCAGTTCTCATCTTGCATGTTTGTCTCCCCAACCCTCTTCTCTAAAGGAGCTCATTTGCTCCCGAGCACCTTGTCCGAGTTGAGGGCTGCATTTGTATGTCTGTCTCGCCCACCAGAACGCCCTCTCCATGAAGCAGCTCCCTTGTCTGTCTTGTTCTCACCTGTGTTCACAGAACCTGGAATCGTGCCTGGCACACAGTGAATGCTGACACTAATAACCTTTCCCAAAGCCTCTCCTTCAATGAGTTCACTAACGCTGACTGCAGATGACAAATTCCGATTGACAAGAAACACTTCTATGATTCCTACGAGCCTTCTAGTAGTATTCCTGCTATGCGGGTCAACCCATCCCCAGAAGGTCCTGGGCCGTGACTGACATGCAGAGAAGCCCTGCTGAATGGATGTGTAGATAATTCAGCTTCATGTTTTTAAAGGCTTCCTCAAAAGCCTGTCTCAAGTGTTAGGAGTTTTTTGAGGTTTGGGGAAAAGCCATACTGTCCACTTACAGACTGGCATGCCTGTTTGCTGTCTGGCCCTAACGCCCTGGGTTGTATGTGTATACACAAATGTGTCCTTGGTTAGCCCTGCGTTCTTCAGCTCAGCAGGCTTATTTAGAGTACCTGCTGTGGCTGCTGCTTGGGCGTGGTCGGGGTGTGTGTTCGCAGAGCTCGTGGTCCCGAGGAATGAACAGTATGCATTTTCTTTACTTTTGACATGTCGATGTAGACCAAACTCTGGAAGTGCTGGAAAATAGCGCCAGGCTGCGTGAGAAAGCCAGCAGAGGTTTCAAAGGAGTGCACAGTTGAGGCTGGTGTTAATCAGTTCCCTGGCAAGGCAAGCAAGGCAGGGGGAATTGAGGCATAAGGCTGTGTACATATGTAAAGACAACGGATGTCCCCAATGTTTTTAGGGGTTGCATTCCAAGGACTTCAGGACTCCAAATTTATCAAAGAATTCCCAAAAAAATAGTCCACTGAAAGTCACAAGTTTCCACCATGTGCAGTGGGGCACACCTATAATCCCAGCACTCAGGAGGCTGAGACAGGAGGATTGCCATGAGTTCAAGTTCAGACTAAACTATGTAGCAAGACCTAGTCTCAAAAAAAAAAAAAAGCCATAGGTTTTCTATATAGATTTTTCATATCACAAATTAACCTTCTTTCCAAATCTTACTGCACATTGGTGCTCTTGTTTAATTGGTTTTCTTCCTGTGTACTTCATAGTGCTTATATTTATTTATCCCACAGAGACTCCAACATTTTTAAAATACGTTTGCCAAATTTCTCTCTTCTAACTTGAAAATTAAAACTCCCTTAGTTATCTTCTTTCATTCAGGAGCAAGGCGTTTAGTTTTTAATCTTCAGTGTTGGTGTCATTGGGGCCTTTCTCACTAAGAAACAAGGTTGTGAAAATTATATGTCAGGCACAGTGGCACACACCTGTCATCCCAGGACTTGGGAGGCTGAGGCAGGACGATCATTGTGAGTTTCATGCCAGCCTGAACTGTATAATGAGATCCTGTCTCAAAAAAAAAAAAAAAAAATACTGTCTCCTGAGCCCCTTGTCTCCAGATAGCCCTGATGATAGAGCTCTAGTGCATCCTCAGCAAAAATGACATTTTCCACTTAATGCAGCTTTGGCAGCCATTTGCAAACAGCTGCAAATGTTAATTCTGGAATTCCCAAAGCCATTACTTGTGCGTGGTCTGCGTGCATGTGTGAGAGGCAGGTGAACGCATCTGCAGACACAGGTAAGTAATGGGCTGAGGTACCACTGGGCCTCTCCCTGCAGGGTACGCCTGTTCTGATCCTCACCGCCTGACCTCATGCTCTGTGTTGTACGTCACTGTGTGGTGGTCCTGGGCCCTGCCTCCTCCTGCCGTTCTGTTCCAGAAGCCAAGGGCAAGAGTCAGGCTGGCGTCAGTCGGTCGCTGGGCAGATCAGCGCCCCAAGACCTTGCAGCTTCTCCCATGCACCCGTCTTCCCAGAGCTCTCAGATTCCCCTCAGTCTGCCGTCTCTCAACCCGTAAGGACAAGATAGCGACAAAGTCCTGTGAGCTCCCATTACTTGGGCCTGGCACGGGACAGCCCATCGTGCTCGACTACGGGAGGTGCCCAGACTGCTTGCTGGCCTCTGCAGTCTGAGCCTTTGGTCGCACGATGTCCTCGTGCTAGGATAGTCTTCTCTCCATTCATCTGTGTTGAGTGTTTCTGAAACTGCCTCTGCCTCTCTTTTCAAGGACTGTGTTCAGGGCCCACTTGATTTTCTTAGAGTAATGTCTTCATCTCACAGTCCTTAGCTTTGGAAGGCTAAGGTAAGGAGGGTTATGATTTTTGAGTTTTGTGAGACCTAAAAAAATGAAGCAGACTGTGGAAATGGTGCTGCATGCCTATAATCCCAGCACTCGGGAAGCTGAAGCAGAAGAATCCGTGAACTTGAGGCCACCCTCAGCTACACATATGGTGAGACCCCATCTCAAATTTAAAAAGAATAAATAATTAACTTACTTTGGCATAGACCTTTTTTCCCAATAAAATCACATGTACAAGTTCCAC